AGAATACTCTTCAAGAAGAAAATGGATTTATTTTAACAAAACATGTGATTAAGAGTTGGGATGATTATGTATTAGGTGGAAGGTATAGGCTTCTCATATCAACAAAAGAATAGAAAACAAAAACTTGAGGAAAAACAAAAAGGTCTACTAGAAAGTCATTGTCCAATTAGGAGGAATAAATGGGGCATGATTTTGAGGATTAGAGTAGAGTTTAGGAAAAGATAATCCAGTTGACTTCTCCTCCCTTTTTTTTTTTTGAAGTATACTCAATCTAGTGTGACAATTTGAGGGACATGGGATTGCATTTCTTTTTCTATATGTGCAAAACACTACTTGATTCTGCTGTGATTACAGATTAATCATATTATAAATGCTATTTATTAACATTTAAGTTTAAGAATCAAGGTATAGGAAAAGCATGGATGACCTAATTAACATAATGTAAAATTTACAAAACTTTGAGAGTATAAAACTATAGCTGAAGATTTTCAGAAGAGGAATAGGGGAGAAGAGAGGTCAGGGTAAGTTTGATTAAAACTAGAGCAGCTGTTCTCCAACAAATGTCATGCAAGCTTCATTTTAAAAAGTAAAAAATGTAAAATTATGATATATTTAACCTAGTGTACTTAAAATGTTATTTCAACATAAAATCAGTAGAAAAATTAGTAATAAAGAATTCTACCTTCTTTTTGTATTAAGTCTTCAAAATCTGGTGTGTATAGTACACTTCCAGCACATCTCAGTTTGGAATTACACCTCAATAGCCACCTGTGGCTAGTGGCTACCACATTGGACCTACCACAGTCCTTGGCACGTAGTAGATACTAATAGATGTTCAGAGACTGAAGGAATTATGCAATTGGCATATAAGATGAAGAGACCTAATCCAAGAGAGAGGGACCACAAGACCTACCCTGCAGAGGGTTGTAAGTGGTGGTTAGTAGAACTGTGCTTGTTTTGGTCTCTGGACCATTTGATACTCTCAATTTTTCCATCCTCTCCCCTGATGTGAATATTTAGTCTGGAGCCTGAAACCATCAGTGTGGTAGTTACAAAAGAAAGCTTAACTGCTTTCTGTTCAGTGACCCTTTTTATTGGTAAAATTTCACACCTGTTAATCTTTTCTTAACAGCTTACTCTTTGAAATTACTCATGTGTTTAGCAATTACCATTTTATTTCAACCTCCTTATATATTTTTAAAACCAAGTTACTGCCAGGAATCATTGTTAAATTGAGGATCATTTGGTTGCAAGGAACAAAAACGGATTCAATGTACTTAACAGAATATTGGAGTGACATAGCAGATAATGTCATGGATATCCACAGGCAGAGAATGCACCAGAGTTTCATGTGTTCCACGCAAACAACTAGGAAGTTGGGTATTGAACTTTCCTCACCTGGACTCTCCCCTTTGCTTATCTCTTTGCTTTTCTTCACTGTCTTCTTCATTTTCTTGCATGTCTAGAACCTGACAGCACTCACGACCTGAGCCTCATTGTCCACCACAGTCCAGCTGATTCATTCCCACATTACTAGATGAAAGAATTTGATGGGTTAGCCTTGCCTGTGAATCACATGCAATTTGGTTTTCTTGGACTATGTAACAAGGTACCACAAACTGGGTGGCTAAAAACAGGCATTTATTTTCTCACTTCTGAAAGTCCAAAGTCCAAAATCAAGTTATCCATGGGGTTGGTTCCTTCTGGAGGGTCTAGGGGAGAATCTGTACCACGCATCTCTCCTTGCTTCTGGTGACTGTAGCCGTTCTTGGCTTCCTTTACTTGCACACACGTTGCTCTGATCTCTGGTTTCCTAGTCGCATAGCTTTCCCCTGTGTCTCTGTGTTTTCTTTCTCTTACAAGGACACTAGTCGCTGGCTTTAGGACCTGCACTAATCTATGATGATCACATCTAGAGATCTGTACCTTAATTACATCTGCCAAGACCCTTACTCCAAATAAGATTATATTTTCAGGTTCTGGTTAGATCTGTCTTCTGGAGGTCCAGCATTCATCCTACTTCAGGAAGTATACTGAAGGGATACTAGTATGGCTTCTACGAATCCGTCCCAGGTGCCAGCAAATGTCTGGCTATTACGCTTCTCTACACAGAACATAATTTCGTACATCTTAGTGTTCCACTAAAAAGTCCCTTTCTCTTATTTTGGGGGTGGAATTAATGACTCCCTTTTGTCATTTTTTTGTAGCACTTTGTACACGCCTCTTTGGCAGCCCTTGCCATATTAGTTTATAGCATTGTGTTTACATGTCTCTTTTCCCCGCTTAAATTGTGAACTTAAAACAAATTGTTTTAAATGTTTATTTTTGAGAGAGCATGCACGTGCAAGCAGGGAGAGGGGCAGAGAGAGGGAGACATAATCCGAAGCAGGTTCCAGGCTCTGAGCTGTCAGCACAGAGCCCGATGCAGGACTCGAACTCACGAATCATGAGATCATGATTCAAGTTGCTCTCCTCCACCAGTTCACATTAATCTTCTCTGTTGCACAGATGTTATTTGTGGTAATTCTGTTCTTTCTCTCTCTTTTAATGTTTAATATTTGTTATTTTGAGAGAAAAAGCTAATGGTGGAGGAGCAGAGAGAGAGAGAATCCCAAATAGGCTCCATGCTATCAGTGCAGAGCCCAATGTGGGGCTCGAACTCATGAACCGTAAGATCATGACCTTAGCCAAAATCAAGGAGTCAGATGCTTAACCAACTGAGCCACCCAGGCACCCCTGTGGTGTTTATGACCTATAAAGTTGCTGAGAACACTAAATTATTGAATAAGACACCATTCTCTCTAGGCAAATAACAAGATTGAGTTCCTGCAAGCCTCTGGTTACAATTATTTCATTAGTTGATCAATATATAACCTTGTTTTATGTGTGTTTTGGCTTAAAGTCACCTTATTTAATATATATAGTTGTGTAATCCATGCCTAAATGAAACTTAGCTAATATACATATTTTCTCTGTAAGGCACATCACTTCTTCCACTTGGGAACACTAGCCAGCACCTTAGACCTGTTCTTGAGGGCCATTTTAAACAGCAAAACCACCAACAAAAATGCAGAAAACATGGCTCTAAATAGATGATGAAAAGGATATTTGTATATAGTATGAGATTAAAGTGTCATCTTGTTTCACCACAGCTGGGAACGTGAACATCAGGTGACTCTGTTTTTGCCAATACACATGTTTGCAAATGACTGTGAAAACATCTAGAGTATTGATTTCGGGAGTACAAATTAAATTTTAGAGGGTGGATTTGCAAACATGGAATCCATGAATAATGAAGATAGATTGTATCCACCTGGTGTCTCAAATTCCTGAGCCATTGTGTGATTCCACCACCCAATTCTTCGTCTTGGCACCTCTCTGAGGCATTTTTAGGTTCCAGCTTTTCTTATTTTTACCAATTCAGTTACCACTTGATTCACTTCTCATTTTCCCCAAACTTGCTGCCATCCTTTATTTCATGTGTTATTTTCTCTGCTTCCGTTTATTTTGTGTTGTGTTTGTATACCTTTCCCATAATTTTTGTGGAGTTTGCTGAGAGAATACAGGTGAATTAATCAAAAAATTCTTACCCAGGATTTTATGTCATACCCAGCACTTTCAGTCAGGTGTTACACATATACTGGGTGTTTACTAAGTACTTGTTGAACAAATTAAAGAAGTGCTATTTTTTTAATGTTTATTTTTTAGAGAGAACACAAGCAGGGGTGAGGGGCAGAGAGAGAGGAAGACATGGAATCTGAAGCAGGCTCCAGGCTCTGAGCTGTCAGTGCAAAGCCTGACATGGGGCTCGAACCCACAAGCTGTGAGATCATGACCTGAGCTGAAGTCAGACCCTCAACCAACAGAGCCCCCCAGGTGCCCCCAAAGAAGTGCTATTTTTATGCATAAGTTTAGTGATGGTAAACAATAAATGGAGTTTTTAATATCATATGTAGGTAAGAGACTACCTCTTTGTCTCCTTATTTCTGATAAATTCTTTGACTTAGGGAAACATTGCCTGAAGATGATGGGGAATGGGTTTAAAATAAAACAGGCTGGAAGGCAGACTTTGTTTTAAAAATAAGTTTTCTTTCCCTTTGCATCATAATCTCTTCCTTAATCTGTTTACTTCCTTTACAGTTTTGTCAGTTGCAAACTAAGGTAAAATTATAGTGCTCACATGAATCCCAAAAATAATCTAATTTAAACTTTTGATTTGTAGGAAACTGAGGGTCAGGCTACCTTAGCTCAATTCTTTGCCCCACCACTAAGTTTGGACAAGTTTCTCAATTGTTTTGGCCTCAGTTTCCTCACCTGTAAAATGGAAATAAACATACTATCGATAATTTTAAGATTGTTGTGAAGATCAAAGGAGATAAATAAAGTTCTTAGTACTGTGCCTGACAAGTGGTAAGATCTCCACATATAACTATCATAATAACCTGCTAAATAAGCAGCTTAGGTAAATAAGTGGTTTAGTTTGGGCTCCTGACTCTCAGTTTAACATGTTTTCTTTTAGATATAAATTAAAATTATAAACCTCTTTTCTGAGTTAGCTACTATTATTTTCTTCCTTTCATCTCTTTCATTTAAAGATGATCACATGATGCATATTTCTATTTCTCTTTTCTAGCTAAAGATATTCTCAGCATTTCACCCATTACCACATTTTTAATCACTTCCTGAAGAGAAAATTTAAAATTTAGTCATTCCTTTTAATTGTTTATGACACTTTCAGATGGTATTTTTCCTGTAAAGTTGAGTACTCTCACAGAAGCACATTTTTTTCCAGTTACAATAATGTACTTCACTTCCCAGCATAAATGGGTTAAGTGCCACACTGGCTTGGGCTTTGCTTAAAAGCAAAGAGAAAGCTCCCAGACAACCAGAGAGGAAATAGTCAAACATCTCTATGTAGATAAATTCCAAATTCCACTCCCTGTCCTTACATGGTCTGTAGGGGACAGAGCACTTTTGATGGGGATCCTTTGAACCGGCAGGACATCTTCTGGATACCACAGAGAGGTGAGTGCCACATTCAGAGTCTAATAACTCCAATCCTTGCAAATTGGGCCTCTTTTTCTATTATGTGAGGGTCTTTTTCTGCTTTCTTCAGTGAAATTATGGGTCAGAACCCAGCACATAAATTACTCCTTAGTTAGACTGCTCTTTGGTAATTACAGGGAATCTCATCTTTTGGCAGCTAATGTTTTAATGTTTGTTTATTTTTTGAGAGAGAGAAAGCAAGCTGGGGAAGGGCAGAGAGGGAGAGAGAGATCCCAAGCAGGCTCTATGCTTTCACTGCAGAGCCCTATGTGGGGCTCGAACTGACAAACTGTGAGATCATGACCTGAGCTGAAACCAAGAGTGGGACACTTAACTGACTGAGTCATCCAGGTGCCCCTTTTGGCAGTTAATGTTTTAAAATGCTGCAGCAGGGGTGGAAATCATGGGGGCCAGAGGTCAGGGGCTGGTGAAAGTATGTGAATATAATGGATTTATCTTTCTGAAACTCTAGGCTAGAGAAAATTAAACCTAGGAAGAAAGGTTCAAAGGAAGATTCTTTTGTGTATTGGTGTTTTGTGGCAGCAGGGTTGAGGGACAGTAAATCACTAATAGCTACTGTTTTTGGTAGAAAGAGTCTAAGCTTTGGAATAAGACAGTCATGGGTTTGAATCTCAGCGATGCCACTTATAAACTAAATGATTTTTGGACTGGTTACATAATATCACTGAGCCACAACTTCCATATCTATAAAGCGGAGATAATAATATCTTCTCCATAGGGATTTTTAGTAGACCAAGATATAATTTGTGTAATATAATTAGCACATTGGAGACTCTCACTATCACATCACAATTATGTTTTTGCCAATTTTGCTGCTAGCATCTCAAAATGTTCTTTGTATGAAGGCACCTTGAGTGGATTTATAGATTTTGAAACTGAATGTGGTATTTTGACAGCTTTTTCTTTTTACATTTAGATACAATGGCACATAACATTAGTTTTAGGTGTACAAAATAATGATGTATATTTGTATATATTGTGAAATGATCACCACAATAAGTCTAGTTAACAACCATTATTATACATAGTTAAGGAATTTGGTGGGACTGAATGAGGCTGGGCAGCTTGCTGCTTGCTTCCTCTCTCCCATCAGTAGAGTTCACGAGTTCTTAATTAAACCTGCAGCCAGAGTGCTGTCCCTAGAATTTATTCCTTCTTTTTCCATCCTTTAAAAACCCAATTCCATGCTATGCATGGTTTCTGACAGAATGGATATCAACATACATTAAGTGAATGTATGAATAAATGAATGAATGAAAGTAGGACCAGCGCTGGGAAAACACATACATTTTTGTACAAGTGTATTCAGATGAAAGTTTGCATCTAGGATGCACCCTTGAGTGGGAACTTTTGAGTTGCCAAAGGACACCTTTGTGTGTGTGTGAGTGTGTGTGTGTGTGTGTCTGTGTGTATGTGTGTATAATGGAATGCTAGACAGTAACCCCCCCCCCCCACACTATTTCTTTTGCTTTGGTCATATGAGATAAGATGCAGTAAGGCAGAGATAATTTAACATGTTAGCATTTTTAGCAGAAACTGGCAGAGGAAGTATCTCCTCCTTTGTTTTTTGCTTCTTGTCCCCAGTCAGTGTACGTAGCCAGTAATAATTCCTTGGATTTGTTTCCAGTCCTAAAAGTAGCTATTACTGTGTTTATACCTTTAAGGATAAGACACCACAGGTTACTTAAGTGGCATCACTATATATTCTCAGAGTCCTTTAGTCCAACATGGAATATTCATAGCGTTGTTTGAGAATTCTGGGTCTCCATTAAATGCTGTATTCATCTGGGGCGCCTGGGTGGCGCAGTCGGTTGAGCGTCCGACTTCAGCCAGGTCACGATCTTGCGGTCCGTGAGTTCGAGCCCCGCGTCGGGCTCTGGGCTGATGGCTCAGAGCCTGGAGCCTGTTTCCGATTCTGTGTCTCCCTCTCTCTCTGCCCCTCGCCCGTTCATGCTCTGTCTCTCTCTGTCCCAAAGGTAAATAAACGTTGAAAAAAAAAATTTAAAAAAAAAATGCTGTATTCATCTGAGGTCCCATAATGAGATGTATATTCCTAGGAAGTGACCTTTTATTGAAGACAGTTGTTCAAAGCTGCTGCATTTTAGAAGTTAGGGCTGATGACCAGGGAGTACAGGAAATGATTTGCTTTCCTCCAGAGCAAGGCATAATCTTTCTGAATTTTCTGTGGCCCAGAGTGTTGGTACACCTGGAATTGCTTAGATTTAGGAAGGCTAATTTACCTCATTTAAGACTTCAAGGGACTGATGTGGGTTTTTTTTTTTTAATACAGATTTTCATGAAATTATTCTTGTGCCTAAATTCAGACAATAGCTTCGAAAAGGTAGCCTAAAAAAAAAATAATTTATGCATGTCTTCATGTAAGCACATGCTTTCAAGTAAGTTTTAAAAGAAAAGTTTCCAGAGCCTTAGGAATCTATCTTTACCGCCTACCTACCGGTTCTGATGAAGGTGATATGTGATACCGATCACACCCTTCTGAACTGTCAACGTTCTCTCCAATTTGCCAGGGAATGTGCTAAAACAGCAGAGCACAAAGTCCTCCCCTACATAGTAGATCCATTCGCCATGGGGAGATAGCACAGCTAACAAAGTCACCACCTTCTCTGTTATTGGAACTAAAGCTTTTGTTACCTGCATGTTCATGAGGACCACTGTGTTTGATCTGTTGGACACCACAAAGTGCTCTGGGTTTTTAGGAAGCAGTATCACACTATTGACAGTGATATCTGTCCCTGTAGTACTGCCTAGAGATTTAAAGGTATTTGAACATTATGTGGTCTTCATATCTTTGCAGTGCCATCATTGGTGCAGGATGCACCAATAATGTCATCTTGTGTAAAAGTTGTTTCCCTAACAAAGGAAGAATAGCCATGAAATTCCTTCAGGGTTTTCCCAGATTTTAACATTAAAAAAAAATTTTTTTTAAATGTTTAATTTTGAGAGAGAGCACGAGTGGGGGAAGGGCAGAGAGAGAGGGAGACACAGAATCTGAAGCAAGCTCCAGGTTCTGAGCTGTCAGCACAGAGCCCAGTGCAGGGCTTGAATCCATGAACCATGAGATCATGACCTGAGCCGAAGCTGGACGCTTAACTGAGCCACCCAGGTGCTACATCCCAGATTTTAAACCAAGAATTCTAATTGGTCAAAAGAGGCACTAAGGATATGACTCCTTTGATAAGAAGAGTTTAGACAGGTGACACCTGTACTGTGTGCCCAAAGAAGGAGAGGATAGTCATTGTAATGACTCATATCCCTTGTTCAGGCTCTCCTCCTCTAAATCATTCATCAGAGAAGTATTCACAGAATCACAGCAATGGTGGAGATTTGTAGTTTTGAGTTTTCTTTCATCAAGATTGTGGTTAGGTCTAGCAGTTGCCTTTTTTGAAGTATACCACTGCAGTACCAAGAAGTTTCATCATTTCCTCCAGGAGATAGTACTCTACCAACTTCTACCTTTTTTAACCGTCAATGTTTTAAGGTCTGAGGTGAGCTCTCCTTTTTGTTCTCAAAGTCTCCTTCCATTTAAGACAAAATTAGTCAAGTAGTTTCCTGCAACTAAATGACAATGATGGTTTTCCAGGTCCACCTGAGGTTACACCCAGATTTTTCTTGGCTGGAGTTTAGAGTGTACTCAAGCTCTTCAACTGCATATTTACCCACTGGTTTACTCTCACAGATAACTACGATGGCTTTATACACAGATTTTGCTATTTGAACTCCCAACTGAACTTATTTCTAAGTCCCTGGGAGGCACCTCACATTTGTTCATATCTACTACCCACAAGTAATCTCTTTGTGGTGGGCCTCTGGTATTGGAGAGAATGTGGAAAAGGCACTGGAGGATAGGCAAATGGTAGAATGAGGGGCACTCACCATATTGCACCAATTGTTGGCTTTCTGCAGTCATTAGAGTCAAATGAGTCATTGGCTCATTTCTCTCTTTAGATGCTCTGCTCTCGTTGCACTATTAGAATTACAGCACTTACCATGTGGTATTTGCTATTACTATCCATGATTCTGTCTCTGCAAGTAGATCTATGGTTCTCAATTCTTTTTTTCTTCTCAGACCCATTTGGAGGGATATGATTTGGAGCCATCAGTAACAGTAGCTCACTCTGGACTGTGGCATCCTCTCCACCCTCTGACTCCCTTTCCTTGTTAAAAAAAAAAAAAAAAAAAAATCACTGAACTAGGGACACCTGGGTGGCTCAGTCGGTTAAGCATCCAACTTCGGCTCAGATCTTGATTTTGCATTTCACAAGTTCGAGCCCCACATCCGGCTCTGTGCTGACAGCTCAAATCCTGGAACCTGCTTTGGCTTCTGTGTCTTTGTCTCTCTCTCTGCCCCTCCACTCATGTTCTTTGTCTCTGTCTCTCTCAGAAATAAATAAACATTTAAAAAAAGCCACTGGGGGCACCTGGGTGGCGCAGTCGGTTAAGCGTCCGACTTCAGCCAGGTCACGATCTCGCGGTCTGTGAGTTTGAGCCCCGCGTCAGGCTCTGGGCTGATGGCTCAGAGCCTGGAGCCTGTTTCCGATTCTGTGTCTCCCTCTCTCTCTGCCCCTCCCCCGTTCATGCTCTGTCCCTCTCTGTCCCAAAAAAAAAAAAAAAAAAAAAAAAAAAAACGTTGAAAAAAAAGCCACTGAACTAGAGTGAAATTGGGGGCAGGATGATCTTTTATTCCAAGCATCTGATGTGTGTCTGGGACATTGCTGAATGAACAACACAATGCCAGAGGCCACCAGCTGATTCAAGGGAGAGTCAGAGCTAGAACGCAGGCAGTGTCAACTTCTAGAATGCTCCTCTCTTCAACTACTGCAGTTTTTCTATCTTTGTCTCTGAGCATGATTTAGTACTGTTGAGTTTTTTCAGAAAGGGTCTTTTTAAATTCACAAATAATAGATGCGTGTTCTCATTCCCATTAAAAACATTCCCATTGTTTTTAAAATATTCAACAGTTAACATTGATGAGATTTTAAAAACATAAAACCCCATGTTAGAAAACAATTTTAGCTTTAATATCTATAATTATTCATTTACTCAATTACTGAGAATTTGAGCTTTAATACAGTTTTCATGGTTGGGCCTCCCTCCATTTCCAGAATGCTTTTAGATCTAATATAAAGGTGTGACTTCTAGCTAAGAAATGGAGAAAATTAAGACAATGTTCTGAATAATTAGGCACTAAAAATGCCATTAGTATTACATTTAATTTTAAAGAACACATTTATTCTTTATTTAAAAATTGTAAAATTTCTCTTTGTTTTGTGCTCATTAAATCAAAACATTTATTTCCTGAGAGAATAGCTACTGCTGTTGAGTAACACGTGTTTACTATTTGCTATTGTGGAACCAGCAAACATTGTTTCCTGATGGTATTTTTATTATAGACCCAAATTCTTTCTGCTTTATTGCCATAGAAATTTTCAATTAGTAAGATATTTCAATTGATTCGCGTAAGAGAAAATCTTATTCCTTGTGGTTTTCTCCAGAAATGATGCTTGTGAACTTTTCTCAAATGATTTGTTGAGAACTCCTTTTTTTTTTTCTTATAATCTGTCAAATGAAAATGTGGCATCCTTTATCTCTTCCTGAAATGAGTTCTTGCTTTTACATTTGCTTGACCCTTAGATTATTCCACCATCTCACGTGGGATGAGATAAGAAGGAAGCAGCCTTTTTGTCCTAATCCATTCCATTACCAGTATTGTATGCCTACCATGCCTACCTTAAGTAGGTACTTAAGTAGTTAGGCTTCAAAGAGAAATAAGAGAAGCTTCACTATTCAAAAGCACTATGTAGAGAAGCCAACAGGTAAACTGTTAAACACCAATCTGTGTGACACACGCTAAGGTATAAGTGGCATGGAGAAGAGTTGGTGTCCAGGGAGGAAATGGCTAGCCAACTCCATCTGAGGCTTCAGGGAGGTGTTCAGGGAAGGTTAGCCTTGAGATGAGTCTGGAAGGTGGGATTAGTTTGCCAAAAATGAGGCTAAAAGGACATTGTAGGCAGAAGGAACCACATGAACAAAGCGTGGGGATGTAAAATACCATGACAATTTGGGGAAATTGTGAGTTGTTCTATTTGGCTGCTGTGTTTAGGGCCTGAGGCAGACACCAGATGATGGTCTCAGATCTATACAACCGAGAGTACTTACTTCTGGAGTATATTTTTCGTAGCTGGTGTACTTTTCACATTACAGTGTAGAATGAATTATGGACAAATTAAATGTTGACTGGGGTTGATGCAGTAACTATGAAAGGATCTATATGATGATGGCCAAAAATATAGTAAGATGAAAAAAAGATTCTGCCTGAAACCCCCCAGAATCTGTCATTGGAAATGGAGTTGTTTAAGAGATAGGAAACTAACTTTTGACTGATGACGTTTTCAGTTCTCTCCTCAGCCTGCCTGCATTGACTTGGGGATGATGTGGGCCCATGCACTGTGGACACTCCTCCTACTCTGCAAATTCAGCCTGGCAGGTAGGTTGACCTGTGCCCTTTTATGGATTGTGTAGTTATTTTTAGCTTCTTTGGATAAGAACTGTTAATTTGAGTGCAAAGGGCCTCCTGGACCATGAGCGCATGTGGGTGAACAAGGGATTCGTGACCTCCCTGAATTTGTGTGGGTGGGTGTGTAGATGTTGATGTACACATATGTGTGTGCAAATTTGGCAAGATGGCCTATCACATTTTCAAAGGGAGATAAGACCTCCCAAAAGGCCAACATCCACTGTTTTAGAGTGGTAGTAAATTCTTGTATCAATAGTTTTTGTGTGAGGAGCAGTGGTTGCATATAAACACACACAAAAATAAAAAAATATATTTTCACAGTATTTTCAGTAAATTCCAAGGATATAAAGGGAAATGATGAAATACCGCATTTTTACAAGGGCCCATCTCAAGACTATGTGCCTGATATTCATAAACTACCTTGCAGATGTAATATCCGTTAGTTTGATTGCATCTTATGTTAAAAAAATTTAGACCAGAGAGGAAAAGTGGGGATTGGGTACTGGGAACATAGAGAAGGCATCATGTCATGTACCACTTTGCTAGGGCTGTCATAGCTACAAACTGGGTGGCTTAAATGACAAAATTTTTTTTTCTTATAGTTTTGTAGGCTAAAAGTCCAAGATCAAGGTGCCCGTAGGGTTGATGTCCTGACACCTCTCTCCTTGGGGCTTAAATGGCATTCTTCTTGGTGCCTCTTCATATGGTCATCCCTCTTGTTTGTCCTAATTTCCTTTTCTTATAAGTACACCAGTTGGATTGGATTAAGGCCTACCCTAATGGCCTCCTGTTAACTAATAGCTCCTTAAGGCCCTGTCTACAAATACAGTCGCTTTCTGAGGTACTGGGGGTTAGGCTTCAACATATGAATTTAGGCATATACAATAAATACCGTCACACGTAGTAATTGGAGGTGACCAAGAGGCAGATAATGTCTTCCAGACCTCTCTTTTGCCATGGCCTGCCTTGTTGCCCCCTAGGGTATTCCCGTGGTACTTAGGAGTTTTATAGACAATATAGACACGTAGGCCTTTATCTCTCTGTGTCATCTAACCTCTTTTGGCCCATTCAGAAACCAAAAATTGGTCCCAGTTACCCAATTTACAGTTCAAATTATGCGCATCATGGCTCCTATCAACTCACCCTTCCCCTCAACGTACCTTTTTCTGTCTCCTATCTGTGGCTTCTTCTCTTATTACCTTTTACTTGTACCATGTCTTATGTAACTGGCTCCAGTTTCCACCAGACTTCCCTTCTAGACTATCCTTCCTTTGATCTCCGATCAGCCCTGCCTTTCTTCTATTACAATACACTTTTCAAAACACTAACTTTGGGGGCACCTGGGTGGCTCAGTCAGTTAAGCGGCTGACTTTGGGCTCAGGTCATGATCTTGCAGTCCGTGAGTTCGAGCCCCGCTTCGGGCTCTGTGCTGACAACTCAGAGCCTGGACCCTGGTTCAGATTCTGTGTCTCCATCTCTCTGACCCTCCCCTGTTCATGCTCTGTCTCTCCCTGTCTCATAAATAAATAAAACATTAAAAGAAAATTAAAAAAAAAACTAACTTTGCAACAGCACCTAAGTGATATAAGCATATAGGAAAGAAGGGAGATCGGGAACATTTTAATTTTGAAAAATGTTCTTTTTGCATGTGGACAGTTCTCTGATAAGCAAGAATATTCCCCTTAGAGGAAGTTAATGAATATTTCCCTTTTTATACACATAGAGAAAATAGTTATTTTGAGAAATAGGAATATAGTTGTGGATTGTTTTTGAAGGTGTGGGGCAAGGATAGATATGTACCAATGGTAAATCTAGCTTTCAGATGTCCATTTTTAAAAAATAAAAATTCTGTTTTTGAATAATTTAGATTTATAGGAAGCTTGTGAAGATAGTGCAGAGCTCTTACATAACACTCATCCAGCTATCCCCATTATTAATATCTTATTATACCATAGTGCATTTGCCAAAACTCAGAAACCGATACTGACACATTAGTACTGACTAAATTCCAGACTTTATTTAGATTTCACTAGTTTTTTTATTAATGTTTTCTCTCTGTTCCAGGATTGAATTTAGGGTACCATATTGCATTGCATTGTCACAACTCCCTAGTCTCTTCTGGTCTGTGACAGTTTGTTAGTCTTTCCTGGTTTCTCAAGGTCTTAACACTCTTGAGTACTTGCCAGTGCTCCCGGGTTTTGTAATAAGTACAAGGGAGGTGAAGTGCCCTTGTTATTCTATCACAGGTTGTGGCAGCCTTCAGATGAAGAGTTGATATCCTAATTAGAGATCATGAATAAGACCTAAAATCAGCATCCTGTTTGCCAACATGTGGAAACGGGAGGATGATAGATGTATAGGCTCTGTGAATCATGGTGGTTCCATTACATAAAGTAAAAGCAGTTGACATGTGCAGGGTCACACCAGATAACTGAGGCTGGAAATGTAAGTAAAGCAAGCAAGTAAAAGTGAAGCCTAATATTGTTTGTTGATTTGGTTCCTTCTTCTTCCAGTTCTTTCCAGCCTCCTACTTGTGATAAAACAAATCTCAAATGACCTAAAATACATAGATAGAATGTTATGAGGATATATGAAAAGAGGAGAGAAAACTGATAAAATGAATTCTACCCCCAAGTCTTAGAATCCTGGATTTTCACAGCAGACCATTTTTTTACATTAGTCAAGGAAACTTGTTTATGCTGCAAAAATAAACAAGCCTCAAATCTTAGTATTCAGAACAGCAAACTGTGTATGTCCATCAGAGGTAAGTAGGATCCCAGGGTGATGAAGGCTCTACCATCCTAAGACACTGTCATATCAATGTGGATTTTCAGTGTGTGCAGGAACAGAGGAAAGAGAGAAAGGACAATTGTACACCAAAACTTAAATGCTCCTCTCATGTCATTGGCCACAGCAAGTCATGTGGCCATGGCTAATTTCCAGGGAGCAAGAAAATAAAATCTTACCATAAGTCCAAGAAGGGGAGATATTGATGAACACTGAAGATACTACTGAACTTATATTTTATTCATCACAAATCTCTTCTCTAATACTAGAGTAGGAGACCAGAATACTCCATTCCAAAATATGCCATTGGGATTATTTTGATGTGGAGGTAGACGAGAATCAACAAATGCAATAATGAAGCCTACTCCATTAGTTTTCCACATGTATTTACCTTCCTGCAGTTTGCTACCCTTGAAAACCTAAATTCCTTTTCCTTTGTCTGGTCTCTTCATAAATTTATTGTATTTTTAAGATACTATGTGAGCCCAAGATTTAACCACCTTTTTGAGTTATTCTTCACTGAGGTTTATCCTGCATCATGTGCACTGCATATGTTAATAAACTGTTTTCTCTTCTTTTTTTTTAATTTTTTTTAACGTTTATTTATTTTTGAGACAGAGAGAGACAGAGAATGAACAGGGGAGGGGCAGAGAGAGAGGGAGACACAGAATCTGAAACAGGCTCCAGGCTCTGAGCGGTCAGCACAGAGCCCGACGCGGGGCTCGAACTCACGGACTGTGAGATCATGACCTGAGCCGAAGTCGGACGCTTAACCGACCAAGCCACCCAGGCGCCCCAACTGTTTTCTCTTTTAATCTGTCTTTTGTTAGTCTCATTTTATAAGAACCCAGCTGCAGAACATAGGAGGGTAGGAGGAACAGGATTTTTTCTTCTCATATACCAATATTTATATAAGAATATTGCTTTCTTGCCATATTTCAAGCAGTAAGGACAAGACAAATGTAGCTCCTTTAAAAAGCTCACATGGAATGGAAAATCATTTTTAAAACCACTTTCTACTTTCCTGATACCTGGGGAACCAAATGGTTCTGGTTATGGGAACAAGCTGTTTGACTCCCCTTTTGACCCATGCCTTTTATATATATTAATTAAAGCTTCTGGAGGAATGAAGGAGAGGTATTCAAAGATGACCAGGAAAGTAAAGATAATGAATTTTGACATGGTTGGTTTTGAATCATAAGGACTTCTTCCTACATGAGATTTTGTGGCTGGCTTTGGATTCAGCCAGTGCAAGGCAAAGTAAGAATGAGAAGGAAATAAAATAGGACTATAAGAAGCCAAAATGAGACTAGCACAAGACCAAAGAATATCCTGGGGATACAGAGAAAAACTTCTTGTTTCCTTGTTCTCCAGCAAAGGCTCAACTTTGAAATCCTGCTAAAAGTGAGTGTAATGGGTGTAAGTGAAATGGAGGGTGAAGGGCAAGCTAATATTTAATGAATATTTCAAGCAAACTTGTCCAAAGAATTGAAGACCGACCCACATGTATACACAAATGCACACATGTGTATCCTGCCATCATCTCTGAGTCACGGAGGCAGAGCGAATTGGTCAGTGTGAAAGTTGTTCCTCTCGGGATATTATGGGATGACCTTTGGTTCACTGCCTCGTAGGCTTTTGCTTGTTTCCACTGACAGTTGTGAATCTGTTTGTATTCTGATTGCTCACCCAAGAAATTCTCCATGGAGGTTTTCAAGCTGCGTGGGCTCTTAGAAGATTGTGTTACTGGTCTAGCTTCTAATTTCCATTTACCATGAAGCAGTTGGTTCAGGTCTAGTTATGCTGGTCTTTTTAAGCCCTTGGACTTGGAGATCACCATCTTTGTCATGGTTTTCAGCATGAAAATAGTAAAGATGGAAAATCTTTTCTAAATTAAGTTTTATGTTAATTCCAATGTAATTAGCATACAGTGTTAAATTAGTTTCAGGTGTACAATATAGTGCTTCAACAATTCCATACATCACCTGGTATTCGTCAAAACAAATGAACTCCTTAATCCTCTTCACCTATTTCACCCATCCCCCACCTCACCTCCCTTCTGGTAATCATCAGTTTGTTCTCTAAGGGTCTATTTCTTTGTATCTCTCTCTCTTTCTCTTTTCCCTTTGCTCGTTTGTTTTGTTCTTCAAATTCCACATATGAATGAGATCATATTGTATTTG